GAGTTCAAGCCATCCTGGGCTACATGAGACTCTGAAGAGAGGAGAACAACAAAAGAGGAAGATGGAGAATCAGCTAAGGTAGCACACACCTGTAATTCAGTATTCAGGAGGCCGAGGCAGGAAGATCATGAGTTCAAGGCCAGCTTGGACTACTCAACAGGACCCTGCCACCACTCCCAAAATAAAGTAAGAAAGAGGGTTGGGGGAAAGGAAGGGCAGAGGAAGGAGAGGAAGGGAGGAGAGTAGAGAACGCAGACATGGATTGGAGAGGGGTGTGGTTCTCTGACCTCAGAGAGGCAATCATCGAGCTGGATGTTGAGCTGAGGCCACAGGCACAGGCTGCTGCTCGCTCCCTATTGGGGAGGGAAGGGTATTTTGATGGCTGGCGAAGTTTGTAAGGTATCTGCAGGTGGTTGATTTGTAGAGAAATCTGTGTACACCCATGCTTGATAACATGTCTAATAACAGCTGCCAACATTTACAGAGGACCTGGTGACAAGGACCAAGGTGTTAATAGCAACAAAGCAGGGAACATTTGTTCCCCATCCCCCCCCCCACATCCCCACCTTAGAGCCAGTGCTAACATTGAGGCTAGCAGGTCTACTTGCAGGCCCTCCTCTGTAAAATATGCATCTGAATTCTGCATATGACTTTAAAAAAAAAATCATAGCCCTTTATCATTCAAAGCCCCACTGTCTTTGGAAGGATGCCTGATCTTTTCTGAACGTACCATGCCCTAAGCAATCTGAACACTCCTGTTCTTTATTATCCATGAATTATAATGGCTCAGCAAAAATGGATTTACTAAACCAGTGCTTAAAAAAGAGCTAAGTAATTGCCCTGGCCACAGTTGCTCCTTGTCTACTATAGTTGAGCCTGCCAAACAAGCCCATCAAAGGGATTGGAAGGCACTGAAACTTACCATTAAAAATAGAATCCATCTTTATTTAGTCAAGGCACCCAAGTGCTATCCTCCTTCCCCAGCAATGCATTGGCTGCACTCATCAGTAGCCACTGGCATCATGTCTGCTCTGAGTAAAGGAAGGAAAGAAGCCAGTGTACTTTGACTTCCTACCCAGAAGCATTTTCATCATCCACATATGCTGCACAACTCTGCCAAAGCTCAGTGAGGACAGAGCCTTTCCCCTGTCCCTTTACTTTATCCAGACCTCCCGTGAGGAATGAGGTGCCACTTCAAAGAGGTGGGTGTTCTGCGGGTGGCTTACCACTTCTGGCTGATTTATGCTGGAGTTTAGCCACTGCCTGTGCACAGACTTTGTTTCAGGAATCATATTTATCTGACCTTTCTTTGAATAGACAACCCATGGAAACCATGGCCCCTCCATGCCGAGTGGTGGCATTTGGGTGAGCTGCAGGGATTCCAAAGTGTCTTCTCTCCTTCCTTAAGCCTGCACCAGCCATGTTATAGTCAGCCTCACTATTACCCGTCATTCTTCTCTGACAGGAAGGAGATGGTGGCCTGAGGCTGACAGTGTGACAGACTCTGCAGCTGTTGTCACTTGAGTACAAATGAAGCAGGTAACTAATAGCCACAAGAGAAGTTGGTAGTACTTGGCTATGTTTGCTGCTTTGAGAAGCCAGGGTTGACCCCAGGTATCCAGAGGAAGGTCAAGAGCCTGCCCTGCCTAGCTCCGATGCCTATACCTGGCAGCCCCTAGAAGGAGAGAAGACCCTTTCTTGTCTGCCTCACTTGCTCCCAGGAACCCTCACTATTCAGCACCTCTCAACTTGTTTTGTAGTTCAGATCCATTTTCTCAGCCAACCTTGTCATGGAAGAGTAACTCCATCTCTATGAAATACTTCAAACCCAAGTGTGATCTGAGCTTAGTCAGATGGACCTTTCAGGAGGCATCAGGGGCACCTGGGAGGTGCTTACCTCTGAGGTCTCTCATGGGACCACCTGCCTCAGACTCTCAGAGCCCCTTAGGCCTTAGAGAGTTCACCTTGGGATTTTGCAGCAGAGTGACAGCTAGTCTCCTGAGTTGTCCCTATCAGATTCTAGTTCACTCCCCAGGAGGATCTACATGCCATGCAAAGCCTAGAGGCCTAGAGGCCACAGTACACTTTCCCACATGGAGCTACTTTCTGTTGGGAGATGGGTGCTATGAGCAGAGGAAGGTGAAGCCAGAAATCTCTACTTTGGACTGACGTCATGTCTCCCTAGATGATGAACTGCCCTTCCAAACCAGCTGGACTACTTCCACTTAAACAAGTCACTGGTCCAGGCTGAGTGCCCTCTTCAAAGATGTTTCAGGTCAAGGCACTTGAACAGGATACAATAGCATAAATATGCCAAAGAAAGGATGCAGGTATTCTTTGGAGAGAGGCATTAGCTGAGGCAGGTCAATTAGGGCCACCACCGGGTGCCTGAGGAGTGTGATCGTGTTAATGGAGACCCTCACTGAGTCTTTCTCAAGTTTCTTTCCAAAAGTGAAATCAAAATTATGCAATTAAAATACTCACAGCTGGGGCTGGATGTTCTCGAACTGATTGAAAGATGAAGTGGACAGGACAACATTTTGAAACAGTGATTGTCTCTGTAATTAAATGCAATTAACTGACAGAAATGTCTGCTTTTCCCTAAAACTGATTGGAATGCTAAGACTTTAAAAAAAAAAACATGACCCCCACCTGATGCCTTGTTCCTTCTAACCCAAATACTCAGCAGAGCACACAGAATGTTAATGGTGAACAGCACACCAACTCTAAGATAGATGGGGCAATGGGCACATCAGAGGAAGAAGGCATGGGCAGGCTAGCTGTCTAGACTGCCATGCGTCCTAACCACAGACAAGAGACAGAGTAGGCTGGGCTTTAGTGGAGACTTGCCTACCATGCTGAAGACACCCTCAGGGGAGAGAGAAAGAAAAGGAAGGGAGATCAAGTCTTAACAAATCATCCGTGGCTGACCTCTGGAAGGAGCCACCGGATGTAAATGCTAAGCAGGCCTCAGACTCACAGGTGAGAATAACAAATGCATTTTCTTAAAAGTTTTCTGAGCTGAGTGGTGGTGGCAGACGCCTTTAATCCCAGCACTCAGGAGGCAGGAGCAGGCAGATCTCTGAGTTCAAGGCCAGCCTGGTCTACAAAGCAAGTTCCAGGACAGCCCGAACAACTCTGGAAAAAAGAAAAGAAAAGAAAAGAAAAGAAAGTTTCCTGACTATTACAGACATTGTGGAAAGTACTGAGATAGTAAAAGTAAATGTTTCACATAATCTCACCTCAGAGATAGAAAGAACCACTGAGTTCCCTCTCTCTCTTCAATTTTGAGACAGGCTCTCATTTTGTAGCACAGGCTAGCCTCTCAGTCTCCCTAAACCTGGGATTATAGGTGTGTGCCACCACATAGGGCTCTTCTTTCTTACATATGTATTTCAATTAATAATGGATATATATTCTTAATATATTATACAAATTTATATCCTGATTTTTGTTATCACAAGTATTACTCTATTTTAAAAGTTCCCTTTTATTTAGTTTTTGTTTTGTTTTGGTTTTGTTTGAGACAGGGTTTTTCTGTGTAACCCTGGCTGTCCTGGAACTTGCTCTGTAGACCAGACTGACCTTGGACACAGAGATCTGCCTCCCTTTGTCTCCTGGAATTAAAGGTGTGCACTATCATTGCCCGGCTAACCCATAGTTTTTCACCTAGGCACCTTTGCAATTCACTTGATATCAAGGGCAAAAAAGACCCAATTGTCTTACTATATACCATTCTTTACCAGCCTGAACTGCTTACCATTCCTCAAATGTCCTGAGAGACCCCGCCCCCACTGTTCAGCTTAGTTCCTATTTTATTTTTACATGTATTTGCATATTGTATTGTGTGTTTCTGTGTATATCATGTCTTAATTAGGGTTACTATTGCTGTGAAGAGACACCATGACCACAGCAACTCTTATAAAATAAAACATTTAATTGGGGCTGGTTTACAGTTTTAGAGGTTTAGTTCATTATTGTCCTATGGAGAATCATGGCAACATGCAGTCAGACATGGTGCTGGAGAAGGAACTGAGAGTTCTACATCTTGATCCACAGGCAACAGGAAGTGAATTGTCCCACTCTCTGTGGCTTGAACATATATGAGACCTCAAAGCCCGCCTCCACAGTGACACACTTCCTCCAACAAGGCCACACCTACTTCTACAGTGCCACTCCACATAGGCCAAGTATTCAAACACATGAGTCTATGGGGGCCATATCTATTCAAATCACCATATCATGACACACATGTAAAAATCGGAGGACAACTACAAGAGTTGGTCCTCTCCTTTTGCTATGTGGGTTTCAGGCATTGAATTCAGGTTGTAAGTCTTGGCAGCAAGCACCCTTAACCAAAGAGCCATCTCTCCATCCTATAACTGCAAATTTCCAAATTAAAAATCTCATTATGAACACATAGCATTATTTACTCAGTCATCCTTTTATTATCAGACTATGAATTGTTCATAGAATTTTGGTATTATGTTATAAAAAGAACATATTGTTGTAAAAATTTGCCTGTATTTCTGATTTTTTTTTCCTTACAGGGTTTCTCTTAAGTACAATGTTCTCAAAACATGTTTTTGAAGGTTGTGGCTTATGCTATGGATTGCCCTCTAGAAAGGCAACCAAATTATATTTCCATTAGCAGGGAAAGAAGATGATGGATCCTAGGTCCCCACTCCCAATACTGAGCACTGTCTCTATGAGACTAAGCTGTGGAACAGTCAGTGGCTACTTCTGAGAGATGGGTCACTTCCTAACAGATCCCCTAGGTCTGGAGTAATTCACAAGCAAGAGATG